TGTGACGAGCTCAATGGCCTCCGATATAAAGGAGTGTTACAGTTAGGACGAACATTGTCGCCTGCTGCTGAATCATTTTGGTGGACGAAAAGTTACCTTTCCGTCGCACCTCAAAGCGAAGTTAAATCACTTTAGTTACAGTGATGTCCTATTATGGCATCAACTGTCACCCTGTGATCCCTTGAGAATCTATATCCCTCATTACACAGATATCAAGCTGATGATACTTCACGGGTGCCATGATGCGTCATCTAGTGGGCATCTCGGCCGTGAAAAGACATTCTTACGAGTGTCATAGGAATTACGGTGTCCCCACCTATATCGGTGGGTGGCCAACTATATTCGCTCTTGCGAAGAGTGTCAGCGCATAAAGCCTACACCTTCGAACAGTGCGCCACTGAAGCCACTGCCGATTCCAACTGAATGTTGGAAGTCGGTCAGTTTGGACTTCATGTTTGGCTTACCGCCTGATCATAAAGGCAGGACGGGGCTCGTCGTCTTTGTAGACATACTGAGCAAGATGGTACATGTAGCACCACGTAGCACCAAGCTCTCAGGAAAAGAGGCTGCCCTCTTGTTTCTGGATCACGTGTATCGACTACACGGGATGCCCGAGTCCATAGTATCGGACCGGGATCCGCGTTTTACGTCGGGTTTTTGGCGACACGTGTTCGAGTTGCTGGGTAGCAAGCTCCACATGTCAACCGCTGATCATCCCCAGACCGATGGCCAAACAGAACGGGCCAATCGAGTCGTGGCGTATGTATTGCGTACAGTAGCGAATCCCAAAGAATGGTGCAAGCAATTGCCATTCGCGGAGTTCGCTATTAATAACATTTTCACGCCAGTACGGGTGAAGCTCCGTTTTATATTAACGGACTGCGCCATCCTTGGACGCCTATCTTGTTTGTGCGCAGCCCGAGTGTGGTGGAGTGGGTTCTCAACACAGTATGATGAGATCCCAAACCACTCACTGTGTCGGACTGCCGACTGTCGAAGGGGGTACCCCGATGCCGCGTATGGACCTTCTCTCACCTTGTGTACCCGTCGGCTGGCGTGTTGCACTATTTGAAAGACTTGGGTGAAGCTGTAGACGTCAGCCTTGAGGGAGGTAGACCTGGGGGGGGGGCTCGAGTGGATATGCTTCACTCGGTGGGCCGGTAGGTGGCCAATCAATTGACCTTGTCGCGAGTGGGCTTGAAGCCAATTTTTTAGGGAGCTTGTCTTCCCTGGCCTTTTCCTTCTGTTTCAGGGGTATTAACCACCTGACCTTTACGTTGCTCTCGGACCTTGAGGTGAGGGAGACCGCTTCCGATAGCGGGTCTTGGGGGGTGTTGCAACTCGAACGAGCTCACAGGCCAAAAATTTCCTGGAGCTCTATTACACTTGAAATTCGTTACACGACTGTCTTCAATGGGAGGCCAAATATATTCTCACTGGAACAGGTGAATAGCTTAGAGCAAGTTTATTACGGACGACGAAGTTGTGCCACATAGATCGCGAATTGAGTAGTATTTGATATAGTCCTATCCTTTTAACTCCTTTACTCTATTCTTTCCCGAAGCTCTGATTCCTTGCTTCGAATGGTATGATCCTTGTGTTAACTGGTCAGGAGTGGCTGAACCTTGAGAATTTCAGGTCAACCGATGAGAAACCCAGGTCAACCGATGAGGGACCGAGTTCTACCAATACTGGACCGGGCCTTCCAAAGGGAATCGTGGTCGACTCCTTCGGTACCGGTTTGACGGTACCCTGGTAATCATTTCTCTTTTGTGGGTCCTGCAAATTGTTCTACGCCAACGGTCGCTTTACCTCGAGGCCCCTGTCTCTCTGGTCTCCTTCCCCTGATACACGGTCTTTGATACTCCAAATACAACTGGCGTTTGGGGTCTTCATATCTTAAAACAAGCTCTTCACCACAGTTGCCCCCTGCACTTGCTCAGCCCTACAGCGGTTTGAGCACGCGCATGTCTTCCCCTCTTCAGGCACGTTTGTTCTTCACTTTGCCTTTTGTTAATAGTTCATCTTAAATCTGTGCTGTTTCAGCAATGTCTTCACCCGGCTGAGACCCACCGCCTGAAGAACCAGCCTCAGTCGACCTCGCCGAGCCAATATCATTACTCTTACGTTACGCCGAAACTGTCCGCGTTGATGACAAGCCCGCCTTCAATGCTGTTCCTTCAGCCGTCTTGGCCGGAACTTATGCCTTATCGGCCCCCACGGCCGACAATTCGTCTCCCTCGGTGGTCGACCTTGCTAAAGTGCGCGTAGCTCTAAATAAGCTGCAGGTCAGCGTGGAAGCACAATCTCGCCGCGTAGAAGACTGCGAGTGTAGACTAGCTGTAGTCTCCCCTTCCGCCACCTTATTGGCCGCTCGGTGTGAGAGCTTGACAGAAGCGCTACGCGACAATTCCCGGCTGGTGGTTTAATTCCGCGAAGCCCTCAGCGCGAGACAGTATTGGTGAACTGCCTACAATGAAAAATTGACCACAGTCGAAGTCGTTACTCTCTTTTCGCGGCGGAGCTCGACCACGCCGGCTTCACCGATGGTTTACCTTCGAGACCAGCTCCTCCTTCGGGAGCTTCGCCCCCGGCCGTATGTCCCCCTTCGAGGCCGGCGAAAGCTCTCGGTAAACGGTCCAGGCGGCAGTCACCCCGCGTGCCCGCCAAATTTTCCAAGTCTCCGAGACCCGACACATTCGCGATACCTCTGTCGGGAGTCTCTGGCGGCTGCTCTCCTGTATGCTGGAGTCTTCGGAAGACGACCTTAGCGACGACAGCGAGACGCTTCGGGCGGCCCTAGCCAAGTCTCGTTCCTCTGGTCGACGCCCCACTAGCACAAGTTCTTCACGTCTTCCGCCGACGTCTACTCCCTCCCTGAGGACGTCGGCTTCCGGCCTCTCGCTGAAGCGATCGATGTTCAGAACGTCTGACTCGGAGACTAAGTTGTCCTTGGAGAAGGAAAAGAAAGCGCCCACGGTTGCGGACAAAAAATTAACCCTTCCGACCGAATCTTGCTCGCTCCCTAAGGATGCCATCATCCCTGGGTACATGTAGCTGAAGACCTTCTCTGCCGCGGAGGTGGCGTTTTGGCCGGTCGACCTTGTCAATTCTTGTTGCATTGTAACAATGTCTCCAATAGACTTGGCCGACCAGCTGGATCTACCTTGTGGTTGGTTCGGTCCTCCCGACGAAAACCTCGACCGCCCTCCCAAATGGAAGAAGTCGTTGGTGAACTCCCCGATGATCCAGAAACCGCTGGTGGCGGTACCTTGGGTAGCAGCCCGTGTTCTGATTCCACTGTTTCCTTCCAATTTGTTGGCTGGTTCGCCCAGTTAGCAGTGGCCTACACACGGTTTGACGAAGAGCATAGCCAAGCGCTCTGGGAGGCGAACCACTGCCTGTGGATCTCCAAGGACCAAGCGCGAGCGAACCCCTTCCTTGTGTCATATTATAACGCGCGGAAGAAGCGTCGGAGTCGGGTGACTCGAGCGTGGCGGGAGGTGATCGACTTAATCTTCGTTGAGATGAGTAAGGGCCGCTGCGATCTCGACATTTTCCTGGACCCCTTCTTCCGTCATCTTCCTCGAACCCGCCGTGTACTTTGCTAGTTCCCTGTCGTGAGGAGGGGTCGGATCCAGTCGACCTGCTCGAGGCCCTTCAGGTGTCGGATTCCGCGTTGCCGTGGCTTACCCAATATCGGTTGTCTTTCGTGCCCATCCTGAAACTTAAGTCCCGCGCCTCAAGGGTAAGTTTGGTCCGCCCTCTTAGGTCTCCCTTAGAACAATAAAATTCGTTCTCTTCGACTCTGTTTTTTGTGCGTCTGCCCATCTTCCGTCTCCTTTGCCATACTTTCCTCTGTTTCCAGGTGATCTTGTCAGTTTTACTTCTTCGTTCTTCATTCTTCTACACTTCGGACTCGTGAAGAGTCAAGGTCCTCCCATCGGAGACCCAGGTCTACCAATGAGAGACCAGGTCTACCAACAAGGGACCCAGGTCAATTTATACGATACCAGGTCTACCAATGAAGGACCCAAATCTCCCAATGGGATACCATGGTATGCCTTCCAGGGATATTGGTACTCTCCGCTAGTTCTCATGGCTTTGCATCATTTCGAAGCGGTTATGGCTTGTCTTCTTGCGCTCGAAGTCCCGGAGTAAAGCTCCGCATTTCAGATCCACTTCGTCCACCCACGAGGGGTCAGGGTGCCCTTTCCATTGCACGAGGAATTTTCGTTGTTGCCGTCCATACCGAGTTTCTTACCTGTACGAATCTCTAAAATTTCTTCGGCTTCATACTCGCCTTCCTCCAATTCCCGCACCCATCTATCTTCTGGTAACAGACATTCGTCGAAGTCAACTCGGTCTGCTCTGTTTACTTCCAACTTGCTGCTAGGTCGATCGGGGAACTCTCTGACGGGCTTGAGCTTGGAGATGTGCACGATTATATTCTGTGCCTCATAGTTGCATAATCTCCGACTAGTTCCCGATCTCGGACCGGTCCGTGCCAGAGGTGGGACAGTTTCTGGCATACCCTTCTTTTACCCGGTCAAAGTATAGCCATACCCGGGACCCTGGCTGAATTTCGTGGTCGACTATCCCTTCATTATGCGCTTGCACCTGAGCCTGACTAGCCGCTCGTAGGTTCTCGTTGACTTGGTCTCTCGCTCGCCGGCCGATAGGGGCATCCGGCACGAGATTGACCTGGAGCCTGGTACAAGTATTGTGTGACCAGGCAATGGCCGTTACCAAAGGAACCAAGTCGATTAAATCGATGAGTTATTCTACAAGCGAGCCAGTCGGGACATGTGCGTGAGTGTGTAAAGCAACAGGTGGATGGCGCGTGGCATGCTTATAAAAAGCTGAACACGGCCACCATTCCGGTTACTTGAAGTTTCATGGCTATGATGTGTAATTATAAGAAGTATCTGACCTATTCGCGCTAATTGCATATACTTTATTGCTTACATTTGTCAAGTGAGGTTAAATAAAGTTTCGCAATGACTAGCCTGACGTCATGGCTAGTGGGCTTGGCTTATACCGGTGGCACGCTGTGCGTAGGTGCATTGTTCCTTCTATACATGTACCAAGACCGGCTACTCTACTTCCCCACGATCCCTGGCACCTCGAAATTTACGAAAGATAATCCTCCAGGTGTGTGCACCACTAGTCACAGTTTCGTCTGCCGCATGCTCTGGTGCTAATGCCTCTTCTAATGACAGGATACCGACACCCGGGGGAATTTTCCATCGACTATGAAGACTTGATGATCCCATGTAAAGACGGTGTGAAGATCAACGCGTGGCTCATGAAGCAGAGAGATCACAGCACTCGTCCGACACTCATTTTCTTTCACGGCAACGCTGGAAGTGAGTCCGTCGCTCGAATTGTAGCTGTAAAATTGAAATCATGGCTCTAATCGATTGGTTCATATTCTCTAGATATTGGCTATCGTCTGCCTAATGCCGTACAGTTGTATCGGAAAGTTGGAGTGAACATTCTACTTGTAGACTACCGAGGATTTGGTCACAGTGAAGGAGACCCGTCCGAGAAAGGGCTCAAGCTTGATGCAGAGGTGCAAGAAGGCTAATTCTTACACTTGATTGATGGATCTTACCGGTTGTGGTCGTGTAATGTAGGCTGCCGTGGACGCCTTGTATGCTCGTACGGACATCGACACGTCGAAGCTCGTGGTGTTTGGCCGGTCACTAGGTGGAGCGGTATCTGTCTACCTCGCTAAAAAAGAGCCCTCTAAAGTATGCGTTTATTGGGATAGTAACAGTGAGGGTCATTGTACGGCTGTCTGACTCTTGTTGCCGTGCAGGTGGCTGCCATTGTCCTGGAGAATACATTCCTGAGCATTTCGGCCATGGTGGACGCATTAATGCCGTTTCTCACTTATGTCAAGCCGTTGGTGCTGAGGATAAACTGGAACAATGAGCTGGATATTCAAAAGGTAAAACAGCCGATCCTATTAATCGCTGGAATACAAGATGAGCTGGTGCCTCATTCCCATATGGAGAGACTGTGCTCACTTGCCACGTCGAGCCAGCGCGTGGTGTGGTATCCCGTTTCTGATGGAACACACAACGACACGTGGCTTCGTGGAGGCAGTAAGTACTATGCAGAATTGCAGAAGTTTGTGAAATCGCTGGGCGGTGACACAACGTGCTTGGCTTACGATGAGTCTTCGGAGAACAAACACCTCCCTCCTCATGTTGAAGAAAATTCGATACCAAATATGCTCGAGCAGCCATTGCTAAGTTCCCTTCAGAAAACGCAAAAGTCCAAGTTCGAGTAGAGTTCATAAACAACCTAAAGTAGCAGCAATACCTACAGTATGCAATGATGAATCGTAACTGATGTTGAAGTGGTCACCTTTACATAATCTTTGATTGGTTGATAAATAGCTTCACGTCAGAGTCACGTCGGGTATCTCTTCGATATCGACTCAGATCTTTTCATTTTGGAATTTAGCAAGTAGTTCGCACGCGGCTTCTTTTCATATTATCAGCTCTTTGGTCATGGTACTTCAGGCGGTTTCAATCTTGCGTCGTGCGGCGCTTTCTGCACGAGTTTCATCCACGCATGCTCTGTCCACCGCCAGTTCAGGTGCCTTCCTTACGATGGAGACGCGTCCTAACGGTGTAGCCATCGTACGACTGGATGATAAGGCGGCCAAAGTGAACACGATCTCGTCCAAGATGACGGCAGAGATGACGGCGATGCTGGAGACAGTGGAGAATGACCCCAATATTAAGTCGGTGGTGCTCATCTCGGCCAAACCTGGCGTCTTCATCGCCGGTGCTGACATTTCTGAGCTAAACGCATGCAAGACAGAGGAAGAGATGCGCGCCATGTCCAGTGCCGGTCAGAGTTTTATGAACCGCTTGGAAAGTTCCAAGAAGCCTTTCGTGGCAGCTATTGAAGGCTCCTGCATGGGTGGAGGCCTCGAAGTGGCGCTCGCTTGCCATTACCGAGTGGCCTCACAAAATAAGAAGACGCAGTTGGCGTTGCCCGAAGTGATGCTGGGGTTGCTGCCCGGAGCGGGAGGCACCCAACGTCTGCCAAAACTGGTGGGCATCCAGGCTGCTTTGGATATGATGCTCACGGGCAAGAATATCAAGCCGGACAAGGCTCTGAAGATGGGACTAGTAAACCAAGTGGCCGACTCGCACGCGCTCGAAAGCGCGGCCATTGCAGCAGCTCAACAACTGGCTACTGGGAGCTTAAACCCCAAGAAGAAAAAGAAGGGTCTGGTCAATCGCGTCTTGGAGGACACTCCATTGCGCCAGATTGTGTTCAAGAAGGCGGAGGAGATGGTGGAGAAGAAGACGGGAGGACACTACCCTGCACCCAAATTGATCTTGGAGGCGGTCCAAACAGGTGTGGAAAACGGACTTACAAGGGGTCTGGAGGTAGAGGCAGCTAACTTTGCAAAGTTGGGGATGACCAGTGAGGCCAAGGCCCTGATGAGCATCTTCTTCGGACAGACGGCACTTAAGAAGAATCGCTACGGCAAGCCTTCAAAGCGTGTAGAGACCATGGCCGTCGTTGGTGCTGGACTGATGGGAGCTGGTATTGCACAGGTCTCAGCTGCGAAGGGTGTGCGCGTCCTGTTGAAAGATCGCGATGCTATGGCTGCAGCTAAGGGTGAAGAGTACGTACGCAGCAACATGGATCAGAAGGTGAAGCGCAAGCGCATGACTATCTATGATCGCGACATCGTCATGGCAAATGTGGTACCTTTGTCTGACGAAGATGAAATATGGAAGACACACATCGCAAAGGCAGACCTCGCTATCGAGGCCGTCTTTGAGGACTTACAACTGAAGCATAAGGTTCTGTGTGACCTCGAGAATTACGTGTCGAAGGAATGCGTAATTGCTACTAATACGTCGGCTCTTCCGATTGCTGACATCGCGTCTGCTTGTAAGCGTCCGGAAAACGTGATCGGCATGCACTACTTTTCACCTGTGCCGAGTATGCCACTGCTGGAAATTATTCGTCACGCTGGTACTAGCGATGCGACTGCAGCGAAAGCTGTTGACTTGGGACTTCGTCAAGGGAAGACCGCCATAGTGGTGAAAGATGTACCGGGTTTCTACGTGAACCGTTGTCTTGGTCCATACATTGCTGAGACATTGGCACTTGTGGAGGATGGCGTAGAACCGGAGAAGCTCGATAGGCTCATGACGACGTGGGGTCTACCTGTGGGTCCCATTACTCTTGCTGACGAGGTGGGCCTTGATGTGGCCTACCACGTGAACCAGACGCTGTCGAAGGCTTTGGGTATGCGCATGAAAGGTGGCGATGCCAAGCTTTTCGAAGAAATGATTGGGCAGGGATTCCTGGGCAAAAAGTCTGGCAAGGGCTTTTTCATGCAGCCTTCTAAGGGCAAGAAGGACAAGAAGATCATCAACGCTGATGCCATGAACCTTGTAAAGAAGTTTCAGAAGACCGACCTGAAGCTCAATGAGGAGGACACCGTAAACCGTCTTATCTCGCGTTTCGTAAACGAGGCGGTTCTTTGCGTGCAGGACGATATCATTGCGTCACCTTCAGAGGGTGATATTGGTGCCGTGTTCGGCATTGGCTTCCCGCCCTTCATTGGTGGTCCCTTCCGCTATGTTGACAAAGTGGGCAGTACCAAGTTTACGGAGTTGATGCAGCGCTACGCCGACCTGTACGGCGAGCAATTTGCTCCGGCACCGCTGTTGCAGGACATGGCCAAGAGCAACAAGAAGTTCCATTCGAACTAAGGCGCTCGACGGCAGCTGCATTGAATGTAGGAAGAAAGGCATACTTATTCATTCTTGTTCTGCTGTAACGCAATTTTTCGCGTCGCGCAATTCCTCATGGTAGCAAAGCATTTCTGTCAAAGTAATGCGTAGTTGTTTCTGCGCTTTTTTCTTCAGCCTCTAGCTTTCAGACGTTGAGTCAAATGGCTATTGACAACCTGCACAGGTGGCTTCTCGCTCTGCCTTAGCCTTGCACTCGCGCTTCTTCGATAGAATAGTTCAGAGCCGACATTGCTGTATAAAGAATAAACGTCGAGAGTTTGCAAACACACAACAAGAAAACAATCATTACTGTATTTATTCCGCCGTCATCGCTAATTCTTCTTCGATTCCACGTGAAAAATTTAGTGTTTTCAGATAGTGTTTCTTCCATCTCGTCGAGCTGCAGAGACTTGTACACATCCTCCAAAATTTTCTGCCACAAGAGTGACTGGATGCAATAGCCAAGGAGGGTCATTTAGTGAAATTGTTGGAGAGGGATAAAGCGCAACCGGTGATCGTGGCGCTCGTGAAAAAGCCAAAATAAAATGGGACCGATTTTTTGAGTGTATGGAATACTTTTGTAGATCTCGGATTAGTTTCTGAGGTTCTAGTATTACCTCGACTTTGACGAGCTCTGAGATAGATACACGAGATAGATTACAGACACATTGTTCACCATTGTGTCGGTAAGGATCAAAAGAGTTAACTTTATCGTGGAGGTGTAGTGACGGTCGGAGTCGCAGTGCGCACAATGCTGCCAAACTGCTGAACAAGCCTCCGTATTAAGCTGCTAACGATCAGCACGACGCTTGATCTTGCGCTACTGCTTAGCCTTCCGTCGTGCTGTCATGGATGTCTGCGGGTTCAACCCACTCGACAACTTTGTAATCAGCCTCTAAATTGTGAGAGGCAGTACAAAGTCTCCTGCATGTAGTGAGCTATCTCCAAATCCGAAACCTTCTAGTCGCCCAGCCTTTGCCAGATTCATAAGGAGGCAGGCATAAACTCAGTCATTGTCTCGGATACCAGAGCCACATTGCCGCTAGCTGCCATGATAATCATATACAGACAAGGAGGTAAGCGGCTCGCATTGCTCAAGTCCAGCGTGAATACTGCCAAGATGGCTACATTTATCCTATTTGCTAAAAGTATATTATCGAATCAGTCTTACAGATCCATTAAATAGTCCTCTAATAGTCAATCATTATGGAGATAGGTCCCATGGCGTCGACTAAACTCTACGTGGGAAACCTTTTCTACGAACTCACACAAGAGGATGTTGAAGCAGAATTTGGCAAGGTTTGATATGGAATTTCATCTTGTCTCTCTTTCTTCCTTTGCTTGACCCCCTTTCACATTCTTTTTCTTATCTTTTGTCATTAGTTTGGTCCTATTGAACAATGTGCGGTCAAAAAAGGGTATGCATTTGTGCATTACGAGCAACTGGAGGATGCGGAAATGGCAGTACAGGAAATGAACGACAAGGAATTAGGTGGACGTCGACTGCGTGTCGCTTTTGCCGTGTCGCACGGTACCCAGCGTCGCTATGACGGGTCGCCGCCACCCCTGCACTCGACGCCTCCAGGTCCACCACCTCTAATGCAGTCATTGAACCAGAGCCATTCAGCACCACTGCTACACAGTCCAAAGTTCCCTGTAAACGCGTCGCCCAACTTGTTCGTGGCCAATATTCCGCCCCACATTAAAATGAGCGAGTTGGACGACGTTTTCGCCCAATTCGGAGAAGTCAAGAATGTTAAAGTGCTGCCTCAGGCGAGACCCGACGCTCCCATGTCAGCCTTTGTGGACTTCACGGACGTGTCATCGGCGCAGAAGGCACACAGTGCTACGATTGTCTTGGCGGGGCAGCCTCTACGCACGGATTACAACTTCCGCAAGTACGTAAAGAAAGAGGTTTTGGCGCGCTTTTTTTGTTGACATAAAGGCTGAGTGTACTTGTTGTTTATTTTGTGGGTAGGAGTAAGGGTGACGGACCGAAACGCTTGAATCGTGGGAGCTATGACGCCGGCAATACCTCCTACGAAGGCGAAAGACGAGGAGGCGGACGTCCTCGCTACGACTCGTTCGATTCGCAGGTCGAGAAGAAGAGCAAGTATGAAGACGATTTTGAAGATTCGGGCCACCGTCGTCCATACCAACATCGCCAGTTGAGTCGACACCATTCGTCGCGCTACAATCGAGAGGACCCCGAGGAGCGGGGACGCAGCGGGTCTCCTCCGCATCATCGTCACCAAAGTAGAAGCAGCATGCAAAGAGGTGAGGAGGCCTCAAGTAGGCGCGAACGCTCGAGTCACTACCCAACGTATGAGCGTGCGGATGAAACCGACGAAATTCATCAGTCTGAACGGCGTCCGCAGCAGTCCGGATACTCGGATCGGCGTTCACGAGGTGAAGAGCGTATCCCTCGCGAGTACGCGGGAAGAGGACTGGATAAGTCGGCGCAAGAGTACCGTCGCCATAGCCGCCCGGAGATGTCATCGACGCACCACAGATCGCGTCGTGGTCCTCGGAACGACCGGAGCTGGTATGGATACTGTGTTACCTTTGGATCCTTATGTTGCTAAACTTTTGTTGTTGTGATTGTTGCTGGTGCTATTTCTGTTGTTTTGTCAGGTCGCCCCCTCACCCTGGGCCTCGTAGCCGAAGCCGCAGCCGCTAAGATGCAGAGTGCTGTGCAAATCATCGCCACAATTTATGTGATTACACCTCTATCTTGGGTGCAGACTTGAACAGACTGAAGAGGTTGCGGGATTTGTCGTGGAGTTATGAAGGAAGCTCGGTTTGTAAGCAGCTCTGTTGTATTTCGAAAGAATTGGACAAACCATGTGTGGTCGCACGGTTTTAGACCACAGTTGCTAGCTGGCGTTCCATAAGTTTTCGTCGTCAATGGATGAATTGTTCGCTGGTAAATTTGGTTTGCAGACTGCGTTTCACCACCGCGAGATAATTTGCTTGGAACATTTGATCGGCATGTTGTGATATTTTGGTAGTATATGGCCTTAGAAAAGTGGTCCAACTTGGATAGATCTGGCTGAAAGATATGGTCATTGAAAGAATGGAATTGGCTAACTAGCATGGTTTGGGCCCTCTACACTGATAACGTGCTGCGCACAGCCTTCACATTATATGAGCGACATCGCCGTCGTAGCTCAATGCTGAACCTCTTGCGAATTCACCTCAAGGATTGAGTGCAACTTGCGCGACTTGGCTTCCTGCTGCTTTAGCAGCAATGGGGCGGGATGCACTGTTTGCAGTCGTAAGGAGAAGAGAACTTGCCATATCATGGGCATCCGATTTCGTATCTGCCAGACTGCAGCCGCACACAGGTTACGTATTGATCAGACTTCGGTGTTGCACCGTAAGATACGCCCCAGATATTTCTAGCTGATTGATAGCGTGAATGAACATCTTACTACTCTCCGCATTAACTCCAGCCACCAAGTGGAGAACAAAAAGCTGTCCGTCTACGAACGCCAGCATCGAATCATCTCACCGAAAATGGACTTTGTGTCGAGGCTTCTATCGTTGGTGTCGCGGGCTCTGGCGCTTCGCGTTTGATTCTTTTATTTCCCACCCTAGCAGAGCTCGCTAATGCAACGGATGATTTGCTCAAAGCATCTTGTCAATCGATTTTGTGGACACTGTCCGAGCATAAGTAATTTGCTAAGGTCATTGCGCTGCGCTTGTAAAGTCATAGCAATTTGGTGTGGAGTACTGCTCGGGGACGAATCCTAGTCAAACAATTGCTTACCAGAGTGCATTGATGCAACAATGATAATGATATATTGGATTGCTCACGCTAGCGAAACTCGTCACTATCCAATTCACAACCAGATGACTAATTGAACATTTCGCGTTGGTTCACTGAGACTAAAACTGATGGCGTTGGCGCTCTTGGCCTCCGCCTCGCTCTGCTTTTCCTAGCTTGCTCATTGCCTGTAGTTGCGAGAACAATTAACAAGATGCGGATTCTAGGCAAATACGGTTCCTGCTGTCGACGTGGCGTCAACGTCTGAACGAGGTCGAAAATTCTGAGGATAAATTTGTCGGTAGATTATAATAATCATGAAGAGGTTGTGGAGGCTACGCGTGGCTTTGGTGACCCATTAGTCTCCAAAGCAAAGATTAACACCTCCTATTACCCTCCGAAAGCTATGGGCTCGAGCCACTCGTCTCTTTGTTTTAGGCGTTCAGAATCGAAGCGTACTGCCTCGTCAGGGACTGAAAAAGTGATTGTGCGGACTGAGTAAATACCTCAGGAGAGCAAAGCGCCTGTTTGTTGCTCATCTTGGTATTTACTGCTCTAGTCTTTCAAGTAACGGAAGTGACAGCCGTGATGACGGTAGATGAACGAAAGCGCAAAGATGATGACGGATATAGCCACACGCGCTACGACGAAACTGAGGTTTTCAGACATCATAAAGTGCAAGACGACGGAATTGCAGCCTAGGTGTGATACGAGAGCGCCAGACGAGTCTTCGTCATGTAAGTTATTCTTTATTCCTGGTGCAGCATAGCCCAAACACGTAATAACGCGGTGAGAGCCACGAATCGATTCGAAGCCGTCGAAGCCGTATTTCATTTTTTGTCTCACACATCATATGACGGAAAGGATGCCAAGATACAGTGAGTAGACTCATGGCATGCAGCATGTGCACTTCGTCTCTAAGGTCTTAGAATACACCTTGATAAGTAAGCTAATGAGCAGGCCGTTAATGTGATGGACCACAGCCTCTAGACCGCATAGGATAATGGGAAAGTTCCATTCAGGAAAGCATATCTGTCAAATCTTCGATGTTTCAGCCTTCAGAAAAAAATGTCGGGTTGTGCAGCGTCCCCGTTCGCTTTGCTGATCATTGTTAGTTGACCGCCATGTCCGCGTACTTGCGGCTGAGCCATTACGTTCAATGTCCGATTTTCTTGGCAACCTCCTCGGTGCTGATGCTTTAATTTGGTTGCCAGCATAGCGGGGGATATGCAGAAGCTCCTTATGAAAACATATTTCCGCGACGGTGAGACGATGCTTCTGCATCTCGAATTGTCGACTTTGGTGCGCCACTGTGACCGTTGTGCGATTCGATCCTGCCGTAACCGATCCAAAGACGCCAGCACGATCCGTTCGCTCTCCATGTCCAGCGCACTGCCGATGTCCGGAATGCGTTGCCAGCCTCATTTCGTAGCAGGATGGCTACCTCTTGATGATTTATGTGCAACGGCAAATCTCTGTTTCTGTCTGACCTGTACAAAGCTGACCACGTTCCCTAGCTTCCGCTGCGAGCCCTCACGGAACTTATAATGAAGATGAACGCGTGCGCTCTCCGCGCATACAAAACGAATTGGATGGCCATGAACTCGTGAAATTGTTTCCATACTATACCTCTTCTTTGCATGGCAATAACGCCTACACCTCTTCTTTGCATCGCGGTAATGCGTATTCGTCATCTTCAGCTATGTCACGGTGGAGTGGCACTTGCAGTGACAAAAACAAGAAAGCAAGTACTTGCAGGCTCATTGCAATAAGAGCGAGAGCTACAACGTCATAGTAGCGGTTTGCATAGTCCATACCGAGAGTCTTGAGGTAAACTTCACCGTAGACGGGCACGGCTGGATACCCAGGAGCGTCGAACTTCAAAATCAGGCCCTTCAATTCGTTTGTCATGAGGATCTCAAATGCGTAGCTGAAGATGGAGAGGTGTTTCAACCAGCCCACTGACGTTGGCATCGTTTGCGAGTTGAGCAAGAAACCGCCAAACAGCAACATGACAAGAAGAACCACAGTTGCAATAAGGTTCGCAGACCCAACACGCCTTGATAATACACCCACAAGTAGACAGATTGCGCCAGCAGCGACGTTGAACAGCACCAACGTAAGAGAAAACAATAGAAAGCGCGCTGTCGAGGCTTGAAGTCCCATAATCCAGTAGAAGATGCTAGCAAAGAGTGAAGCTGGCAATATTCGCAACAACAACGTGTCCAACGTGGCCTTGGCGAGGAAGTAGCTAAATGCTCCGTAGTACATCGCGCCAGCCTCACGAAGGAAGATTGGGCGTTCGCTGATGAACAGGTCCATGGAACTCATGCTCGCAAAGCCAAAAAATGTGAGGATGAAATAGAATGCGCCCATGCGGTTCTGAAATCCAGCGAGGTCGTTGGTAACGTGATTGAAGATCAGTCCACCAAACAGAGCTAACGAAAAACTCAGCGCAATATGCAGCACGAGCAACGACCGATGACGAAAAATATTCTGCGCCGTACGTGCAAAGAGCACGCGAATCTCAACAAGGACTGAATGGGACGGGGTCTTCACATCGTAACCAATTGGATCTGTTCTCGTTGCAGCGTTAGACAGGGGTGGCGAGCTATGCGGTCTTCCATATGTCGCTGGTTTCCTAAGTGTGCTTGGTTCTTTAAGTGTTTCCTTTTCGACTGGTAAAGCCAGCAAATTCTCTGATTGCGGAATGTCTAGCAACAGATCCTCCTCCATGAACGGCGATGTCTCTGCCTGTGTCATAGGACTGCCAATTGTGGACCGCGATAGACTGTTCTGCAGACGAAAATCAGAGCCTGAAAGTTCTTTTGCGGGTTGTGTAGAGAGTAGGGACAGCTCTTGTTTCATGTGACACCGAATCATCGGAATGTTCCTTGTATCGGACGCAATGTCAAGAATAAAATCCGCAATGTTCTCGTGCTAGTCAGTACAAACGCACAGGATACAGTTAGAAATTTATGACAGCAGAAACACTGAAAATCCGCCGGATACATACCTCTGGACACTTAAAACCGAGATCTTGAAAGTATTTCTTAGACTCCACAGGCCCTCCACTATAAAGCAGTTTTCCTTTCCCAAGCAGCATGATCTTGTCAAGCAGCACGAAAGATCGTGCGCTCGGTTGGTGGATACTTAGAACCACGATGCGTCCGTGGCCTGCCAAATCCTTCACGAGCTGTACAACCGAATGCGCCGATGAGCTGTCTAGTCCAGACGTAGGCTCGTCAAGGATGAGAATCTGAGGGGATGTTACAAGCTCCATGCCAATGCTCACACGTCTTCTTTCGCCCCCAGATATCCCGCGCTGACCGCTACTTCCTCCAGCAGACCCAATGCGCGAATTTGCAACATGGCTAAGATTAAGCTCTGCAATGACTCGATCAACCATTGCATTCTTTGCTTCATCAGACAGTGTCGCACATAGACGAAGCTGCGCCGAGTACGAAATGCATTCACGCACAGTGAGCGTTGAGTACAGCGAATCATCTTGCTGCACATAGGCAGCAATACGGCGGTATCCGTTTGACAACCGCTTGGTATCCAGTAACAACTCGCCAGTAAATTGTGATAGTCCATTTTCAACCGCTGCGAGAGCATTTAGCAGGGTCGTTTTGCCGGATCCACTGGGACCCAGCAAACCGAGCACCTGGCCACGTGACACGCTCCCCGAGATCTTGTGCAAAATGCGTTTGGGATGACTCGACAAAGCCTCAGACAATTTGTCACTATTCGCGTAGCAGCTTACATGGCGAAACTCAAGTTTACCTGCTGAGCGTGACGTAATTTTTAGTAGTTCCGCCTCCACATTTTCCTTCTGTCCGCGCGAAATGCTCACAGTTAGACAGCACGAGCAGGCACATCCACAAAGTAGTAAAGTAGCAGTCAGCGCTGCACAAGCTGCAATGGTGACCCAAAGGCCATTCACTCTATCCGAATCTCCACTAGAACTCCCACCTCCCGACGCGCTACCACCGCCACTTGCTGCACGTTCGCACGCTGAAGCCGTGCACGTTGCAGAAAGCGGAATCGGCGAGTCTTTAATAACAATTGATAGTTGTGTCATGTTCGTGACCTGAATCGTAGCAGGTTTGCCACTAAGTGTGTTTTCCACGAGAGCTTTGGTCATTGCGGAGCATTGTGGGCCGCATTTGCAATCAATCTGAGCACATTTTCCACTGGCTTCTCCCGTAGCAAAAACACATTGTGAAAGGTTGCAGTCAATGACGTGCACACTGTGAACTGTTTCCTTGGCTTTAAAAATTGCAGCTAAACAATTTGCCACTTCATTCTCGTCACGATCGCAACGCACGTCCAGTGCCCCATCTGGAAATAGTGTCTGTAAATCCGTGGACAGCATACATCCGTATGTCTTGACTGACGCGTGTGCGTCATATTTTAGTCCAGTAACGCACATATAATCTGGGCCAAAGGTTGAGCTACAGACGTCAGAGGAAGTCAAAGAGCCACTGGTTGTACACATGCGACAGCCAAAGCCACTAAAACCCTCACGACAGTCGCATTGGCCGGTACTGGAGTTGCGTTGCTCATAATTTGGATCACAGGGAACGAGATTAATGGGTGAGAATGAATTAATGGAAGAGATAGAAGCGAAAGATGGAGAAAGAAGCAGCGGCACGAGGAGCGAACAGTACGACGCCCACATGATCGAATACATGTGTTAGAATACTATGTAGTGATATAAAATGAAGGTTTTCTCAGATGCTATTGGTAGTTAATATTTGTTTTGACCAATTACAAAGCCTAGAGTGTCGTCGTTCCGACGGACATAGTGAGTGAAGTCTGCTTCTTGATATTCGTACCTATCATTTCACTTTAGAACATCCGGTTGACTCTAAGATATATGATAGAATACATATGGGCAACTTCGCTTATTGTAACCGGTTCCAATTAGACTAGGAGGCTAAGCAGCCATTACCTTTAGGAATGATCTCTCACCGCAGATTAATTTAAAGCTACGTAATGATAGCGCAATCAATTAGTATAGCCAAGTACGACAAGCTTTCCGGAAAACGCAAACGCCAACACCCATACACTACCGAGCTGCATCAATCCGAACTTACGAGAAGGGTCATCCCCCGAGGGACATACCGCAAGTAAACCAAGTCGTTCGCGTCCCAAGAAAACGCCATCCAAGATTTACTATCTGTGCTCGCTACGTAGGGACGCCCGCCTTATCATAGCGTGCGTCCATTCATATTGTGTTACCTAACATTTTATTAGATTGCTATCCAACTCTTAAAAAAAAATTTGCAATGCGTGCCGATATCTTTTACTTAGCCGTGTCTAGAGTTGCTTACGTTTGTGCGAGGAAGCCTTAGGGCGCCACCAATCACTGGTTGCACGTGAGATAAGACGTCAAACACTTTTTCGTCATGCAGGAAGGGTAGAGCGTGGTAGCTGTACAGCACTTATATTGGTTCTATAGTTACACGAGTCCGTTAAGTATATGATAGGTCTAAAAAGGTACATGGTACCTTAGACCTCCCACTTGGGTGAGGCACATCAATGTGACCCACCCTCTTGAATGTGATGTCCATGGATGGATTCTCATTAAACAGCCCAGTTGGGACTAGGCGTCATGATGGCGTCACAAATGGACGTCATCAGCGAGCTTATATATATTTAAGCTCGCACTTAGAGATACGCTTCTAAAGAGACGCGTATCTGATCTTTATATTAATAGCCAATCAGTAATAAGAGTAAAATTTTATTATCTTCTATTAAAAATAAGTCAATTTTGAATTTGCTAACTATCTATCGCTACGCACGAAAAGCTTGATAAGCTTCTGCGTGTCGTAAGTGAAGTATTTGTAATAAGTTCGTTGCGCGGTTCGCTTAGGCGATCGGCAAGGATTGGTACAGCGCTTCGGCACCGACCAACACCACCACCGCGCGCGGAGTTAAGACGGTCTAACCACTTCCTCACGCTGCTCGAAGGTGTGTGCTATTAGCACGCGGCAGATTATTTCAACAAATACTTCACTTACGACACGCAGAAGCTTATCAAGCTTTTCGTGCGTAGCGATAGATAGTTAGCAAATTCAAAATTGACTTATTTTTAATAGAAGATAATAAAATTTTACTCTTATTACTGATTGGCTATTAATATAAAGATCAGATACGCGTCTCTTTAGAAGCGTATCCCTAAGTGCGAGCTTAAATTATATAAGCTCGCTGATGACGTCCATTTGTGACGCCATCATGACGCCTAGTCCCAACTGGGCTGTTGAATGAGAATCCATCCATGGACATCACATTCAAGAGGGTGGGTCACATTGATGTGCCTCACCCAAGTGGGAGGTCTAAGGTACCATGTACCTTTTTAGACCTATCATATACTTAACGCACATTCTAACTATTGGCCTATTACACCATCCCCCTCTTTGAGACGATTTTTGTAAAATATCGAAAGCAAGAAGATGCCACGAAACGTGGTAAGGCTGGTGGGTCGCCTGCAAAGGCGCTTATGCAGATTAGCACATAGCGTACGGGCCGCGATAACTCGCAGCCGTCGCAAAGTGTTTCTGTGACAACGCCGACACCTAATGTCAACTTGTCAGCACAAAACACCAATCCTGCGTATAGAGAATCTGTCTCGCATTGTAAATTACAATGAGAACACGCCATTACCATCCGAAAGTGGTGATGGACACAGTGCTGTGACGAGACATTTGTCCCAACCATCTGAGACACCTACCCTATAGGAAGCTTCCATGCTTCCTGGCAGCGAGGGTCATGCTTCTTCGTCTGCGCCAACGAGCGCAGCGACCACAACTGAGCGCTGCTTTGAAAGAAACAGCCGCGACTCAACAGCAGGTCGGCGATTCTAGATCGACCGCCTCTGTCAACCCTACGTATAATGGGCTACATTACACACATAGTTAACACAAATAAACAAATACATATGTAGACAGGTGCTGGGCCCGAATAGCGGTCACAACGTGGTAATTTATTATTGATTTATTATGGGGGCCTAAAGTCTCACTATGGACCAATGATAAATCAACCTGAAATTGTGTGGTTTCCGAAAGGCGGGAACACTGTCGTATTTATTACGACTAAAATCTTCGTAATTAGTACGAATTACAACCAAAATAAGAATCAGAGTTAAATTTACTTAATACCTAATACTTGGGCTTGAGTCTTCCTCAAGCGCGTGTGTAAGCTAGTGACGGTACGTTCTAGCCTCGTCACACCTGGTAGCACTTTGTAGTCCTTCCTATGCCCGAGTTTGGGATGAGAGAATCGTCGTACTTTGACGCTCCAGATTTATTTCTGGAGCACGCGACCTTCCCCTATCTTACTGGTGTTGAGTTGGATGCCCTTAATCGCCTCGCGGCGATATCGGGAGAGGCATTCGTCGCGTCGCTGATGAGATCAGCGACCCCTGACGCGCAACGTCTCGCCATACATGAGTTTATGGCACGCGAGCTCGCCGAATCCAACCGGCGAGGCTTAACTCCCTCGCGCCCTTCACGTAGTGAGGCCGTGAAGATGGAAACCTCCTCCTACTCTGGAGAAGGTAAGGACCAGTTGTCGCTGAATTGGTGGCTCCGAGAAGTTGATATCGCCATCGCCTCGAGACTTCTTGAGGCTCCCCAGGCGAAGGTCAACTTTCTTCTTTCCCGCCTCACCGGGAAGGCCAAGGAGTGGGCCCTTGGTAAGCTCGTTGTGGACAAGCACACGTTCCCCACCCTGGATGCCATCGAGGACGATCTTCGTCTTGCTTTCGAGCCACCGCAAGAGGAGAAACTGGTGCGATCAAGATTCCTGTCGATGCGACAGGGTAAAATGGCGATGCGCGACTACGTACAGATGGCTAGGCATCTGGCGTCGTGTATTATCACGCACCCCATGGACATGTACACGCAGGTGAATGCCTTTGTGGATGGTATGCGTGAGGGGCAGACCCGCTTATCGCTGGAGCGCGCCGAGCCTGCCACATTGGAGGAGGCAGTTGCCATCGCACTCTGGAAGACTTTAGGGTCACAAAGGCATATGCCAAACCCTCTGTCGTCACCGTTCCCCGGCCTTCTGGTACAGAACTTATGGAGATCGACGTGATTGAGTCGTCGGGTGACCGACGACGTGTCTTTCATCATAAAAGTGACGCTCGCGCCGGGCGTCAAATGGTTTGCTTTCGTTGTCGCAAGCCAGGACATCGCGCGGCAGAGTGCCGTGCGCCAGCGCCAATATCGGTGCAAGTAATTGATGCCCATCATGAGGGTGTTGTACCGGCCGAACGTCCAAAAAACGGTCGGGACCAGTAGGTGCAGGGCACCCTACTGGTTGGAACGGAGGTCCGGGTCCTCCGGTGGCAGCCCAACCTTCCAGTCCCCCTGCGCTACGCGCACGGTTAAATGCCACCACTACGAGTGGTGATTCACGTCTGATTATTGTCAGTTTACATGTCGCCGGCGTCCGGCGACCTCTGCGAGCACTCCTGGACTCAGGAGCAACGAATAATTTCTTTCGTGAATCTTTTTTATCGATGCTGCCTCCCAGCATTCAGGTCCGTGAGGGACCTGGCCAAGTCGTCGTCAAGTTGGCTGACGGGAAACCACACCGCGTATCGCGACGCGAAGTGTCGTTGCCGTATACGTTTGATGGCTTTCGCAGTAATGATGATTTCTTGGTGATCGCGATGAATCATGCATTCGATTGCATACTGGGCATGCCATGGTTGGCACGTTATAAGCCCCAGATCGACTGGTTAGCCAGATCAGTGAGACGTCGACGCAAGTTCGATGTCAGTGAAGTGTTTACCCATCTCTTGGTATCTCCAAGTGACTGGCCAAACGTCACAGTCGTGGATCGTGATTCCACGACGCTGACGGTGCACAGAGCGAGCGATGGCCCTCTCTGCACTGCTTGTGTTGTTCTTCGGGACACAAGTAATAGTGACTCCTCGCTACAGAGCGATGAGGACGACGAGGACGACGAGGACGACGCGGTCGAACAGGGGTTCCCGCGCGTTTTTACGCGGTTGAACATGGGATCCCGCACGTGAATGCAGTGGTCGAACCGGGGTTTCCATCATCACCCACTGTGGTCGAAACAAGGATCCCACATGGGCATATTGTGATTAAGCAAGGGCTCTCACACGAAAACAACGTGGACGGACAGGAGTCCCTACGCGAGAGCATGATGGTCGAACCGAGGTTCCCATCATCACCCACTGTGGTCGAACCGAGGTTCCCACATGTTCATATTGAGGTTGAGCAGGGGCTCCCACACGGGTTTACGGCGGACGAGCAGGAGCTCCCGCATCAATTGTTGACGGTCGAGTTTGGGGTACTCCCGTCTAGTGTTTCCTGCATCGTGGACGAAGACATCCAGTGCCTAGAGGGGAATGATGGTTTATCCCCTGACTGCGGTTCGCCAGCTTCGAGTAGTGACTCGAAGCACGATGGGAACAGTAGCATCAAGAATTTAGCGTTGGAATGTGTCCACGCTATCGTGTACGTGGAAGGGAGTCCATAAAGACGCCAATACATTGAAGTCGCAAGACCTCCTCGTGATGCGTCTTCCATTACAAGCCTTCCAGGGCTTTCCTGGAAGCATTTCCTACGTGACCTTAAGGGAGGCACTGTGGAACAAGTGTGTCTAATTACCAACGAGGTGGCTACCGTGGCAAACGAG